TGAGCTAAGAACGAATGGATGATGCATGGATATTGATTGAATGCAACATTGATTAGTAATTAGTAACATTGAAATGGTGTAGGGTTCCTGCCTGGGCAGGGGGTTGGACTAGATGACCTCCAAGGTCCCTTCCAACTTTATTATTATTATTATTATTATTATTATTATTATTATTATTATTATTATTATTATTATTATTATTATTATTATTATTATTATTATTATAAAACATGGATGTTTTACACTAGATCAGGGGTCCCCAACACCCAGGCCGAGGCCCACTTCCAGGCCTTGAGCCATTTGGAACCAAGCAGTAGAAGTGGCTAGTGAGCGTGCACATGCAGGCATCCTCACTTGCATGAGCAGTAGGCAAGCGTGTGCATGCGCACGCTCATTTTGCGCAAGTGATGGGTGCACGTGTATACCACTTGCGCAAATGGAGTTGTGCTTGCGTTTGCCCACCACTTGCACGGAACCATCCTCTTCCTGTGCCGCTGCTCCCACCCCCCCAGACTGGTCCGCAAAACCAGAAAGGTTGGGGAACTCTGGTTTAGATGTATAGAGAAAATGACATTGCAAAACAAATATTATATGGAGGAAGATGAAATGAGTTATAAGAAAGGGGATGACTAAAAAAGTTGTGGTTGGATGGAGTCAGTGAGATCTTGGAAAAGAGAGAGGAGAACTTTACAGAATAAAAGTAATGCACGAGGCAGGATATGTAAGCATCTGCCCCACTTGAGGTCTTCAAACAGAAAGTTGGCCGTTTGAGGTTTTTTGTCTTTGTACTGTTTACAAAATTGGATGAAATCAGGTAGAGTGCCTCCCCTCCAACTCTGACTCATTCTTTTTTCTGTTCTATATGCTTCCTCAAATTCTTAGTTTTTAATGCAGCTGAGTAAAAAATTCCTCTTGAAGTTAACTAGCCTATACATCTTTTGTATATGGCACCTAGGCTGCTATGTTGCTGCACATATCTTTGGAGCAGCTACAACTTTAAACATTGCAATTTAGCAATGCCTTATAGTATAAGGAAAAAACAGTTGCTGAACAAATGGTCATAGGTTGAGGACTCCCTGTAGTGTTATGTATACTAATCTGAACTCTTGGAGAAAAGGTGGGCTACAAGTCTGATAATTGAATCTTTTTGCAATGCTTTAATTTGGATGCCTATAAAGGGGTGGAGTGAAAAAGTCAAGATGGCATCTACAGACACATGGTTGAACCCCCTCTCTTTTTTGTGGCAGGCTTTGATCACACGGATATTATCTGGAATTTTTCTGCTTCCCTATGGATGCCCCATAATGACTGCACTGAGCAACAATTTGGCATTGATGGTCTAAGTCAGGGGTCTCAACCCTGGTCCGCAGCCCACTACCAGATTCTGGCCTGTTCGGTACTGGGCCGCACAAGTGGCTTGCCAGCACATGCACCCACACAGCTCAACTTGTGCGCGCCAGCCTGCTGCTTCTGTGGACCAGTTCCCCCTTCCCCCCCCCCCCGCTGGGCCACCAAGCCATAAAGGTTGGGGACCGCTGGTCTAAATAGAACCAGAGGTAACAGGAAATGAACACCAAGATAAGTTGTGGGTAGACAAAAGGGTCAGTCAACAGACCTATGGTGGGAAGCAGCCTAGAAAAAGTGAAAGACATAGGCTACACACAACTGCATGGGCTTGGAAAGATTAGAAGAAAATCAGTGCACGATTGGATAAGTAAATCTATTGCTTTGCTTTTGGACTTGAATGTTTGTAACTAAGATGGTTCCCATTTGGTTGATAGTTATTTGTGATGTTTGCTTATCCACAAAAAAGGGGCAGAAGAGATTGTTATGCTACACTTGAGCAGCAAAGGGACAGAGTGGTATAAGGAAAGCTGAGATTAAGAGAAAGAATTACTGGGTTGGTGTTTGCCTGCCCTTTCAGCTGCAATCCATTTTGCTGGACAGATTTCTGTAAGCATCTGCCTAATGAGAGATAAACTATTTGTATATCACTCCTTTGAATTCTTTCAATGCCTTTGATAAGAGATAGCCAACACTTTTGCCCTGCTGACATTAATCTGTGGATCTGTCCTCTTTAAAAGCCCAAATTCCATATCTGTAAACATGTAAACATTTATTTCCAGTTGCATCAGCAGTAATGGCTGTCTATGTTCCTTTTTTATTTATACTGTACTCTTCCTTCCATAAACAGGCCAATTGATGCTGAAAGGAATCTGCTCCCTTCCTTTCCCAACAAAATTAATTCAAAGAAAGAAACATGTCAAGTCTATTTTGCTTGGAATAAGGCAGTGCTATTTCTCATTATTTAAACCATTCCTTTAGCATGAATTACAAAATCAAGGATGTACGTCCTTTGAGTTTGGGCTCTGTACTTCCCCTTCTTGTGCATTGCAACATGTTCTTTGCTGCCACTGTTCCTTCCTATTATTTCTTCTCCCTCCTCCCTCTCCAATTTCTTTCTTAAATAATGCTGACTGTACAAGTTTGCACAGCAGGAATATATAGCAAATGGGGGAGGGAGAACTAGAGACAGATTTCTGGGCTTGCAAAATTGTTGTCACAGTCCTATATTTTTCTAAAAAGCATTCATTTCCCTCTCCTTCCCTCTACATCTTTTTCATAAGTGATTTGGAAGAGGGCTGAAGTCAGCAGGTACATTCAGGAAAAATTAATCACAAAAGATTTTCTAATTTCCATCAAAACTAAAGTAAGAGACCAAGGATCTGTGCTCTCTGGATCAATGAGGGAGTTAATACATTGTGAGAACACCAAAAAGAGGTATGTAGGAATGAACTTGGGAGACCAGGCAAAGAGATGCTGCTTAGGGACTGGTCAGATAAGAGGGAACATAGCCCACAACAGCATAGTGCAGTGGTGGCGAACCTATGGCACGTGTGCCAGAGGTGGAACTCGGAGCCCTCTCTGTGGGCACACGTGCCGTTGCTCCAACCTTGCCTCCCCCCGCAACCCCCTCACCAGCACCCCCCCTGGAGGAGAGTTGCCCCCGAGCATGGCCCACTCGGAGCAGTGCAGCCAAGGACATGGCAGCAAGGCAGCGTGGACAAAACTCTGCCCTCACGCCCCATCGCGCACAGTTGATGCTGCGGGGTGCGGGCAGAGGGCATGGCTACCATGGCGCTGCTGGGCTGCCTGGGCGATTGGCGGGCCATGGAGGTGGTAAGTGGCCTTGTGGGCAGGCAGGGTGGGGGATGGGGGGGCAGAGCAGGGGCGGGGCCAGTTTTTGGGCACTCGGTCTCTAAAAGGTTTGCCATCACACATAGTGGGTGGAGCAAGAGCTCAGAAAAGACCCCTCACACACTGCTAAGTTTTCAAACTGCAGAAGTGATGATAGGAGAATAGTACTTTAGGACTTGTAAGATTATGTTAAAGTAGCTTTACAATAAAATAGAATTAGCTTATCTGGTCGTGTTTTCTGTCTGATTTATCTGGTAAGGTTGATATCAATTTTGCAAATCTGAAAGTACAATTCTTCCACTGTCACTTTTGCGCGCAATAACTTAGGGAGAGTTTCCCCCATCTTGTACCTTTTGCTACACCCACTATACAACTGTGGGCTATGCTTCCTCTTATCTGACTGTTTCCTAAACGGTATTTCTTTACCTGGTCCCTCAAAGTCATTCCCACATATCATTACAATTTACCTCCCCTCCAAATTTAACCCAAATGGAACCAGTCATGCCTAACTCAATCAAGTTAGTCAAGTTATGGTAGCACTGGTGCTCAGACAGTTAACCTATTTTTCATTACTAGTTCTCCAAGAAAAACAGCTGAAGGCCATTACAAAACTTCCTGCCAAGGTTAGAGCATGTAGAACACACCTCCCAAGGATAAATGAGCTTCAGTAGCCAAGCCAAGCCTTCTGCTGTTTGCCTAGCCAAGGGACCAGTGAAGTCCTAAAGCATTGACAGTGTTTTCCTGGCACAAGAGTTTGTGGGATTCTGGAAGTGAAGAAAGCCCATTCTCCAATTTGTAAACGTTTACCAAATATTGTTTCCTCCATTACCACAACTAGGAACCAATGAACCAAACTTTTCTTGCCTGTCCTACAAATGTATTCTATATCCTGTTGGGAAACTCCACTCTTGGGACAAAGAAAATGTTAAAGATAGGTTTTTTGAAAGGGATGCTAATAAAGTTGCTATTGCAATACAGATACCCAAAGTTTCATATTGATTTCATCACTATAAAAATATATAGAACTCTCTCACTGTATCTGCTTAATATCACCAGAGCTGAGAAAGACTTTTACAGCCCTTCGCTTCAGGCCACACCTGTGGCTTATGTGAAGGGAGATTTTGTAAGCATTCTGTTGCACAACGACTGTCCTTGCGGGCTAGTTAAGTGGAGGACATTATTCACTATGTTTGTCCCTGCCTCACTTAGAATAAGATTAGGATCAAATTATTGATGGTAGGTTAATTCAAGGGCTTAGACCTCGAATGGATGAATTATCTTCTTGCAGATTTATTTCCAACTGATAATAGGTTGCTGCTTTTGCTTTGTCATCACTTAAACTCAAAAATTATTCTTTAAATTCTTTATCACAGCCGTGACTTTATCTTGTTTTAATCTCTTTATATGTAATCTCTTTTTATTAACATATTTTCTTTTATTGTTGTTTTCTTTTATTGTATACTATGCATATTGTTATAATCTACGTTTACAACAATAAACCTTGCTTTACTTTATAACTAAAGTGCTTTATTAATACTTTACTATATTAACCAGGTTTGACACAATTTAGATTCATTTTAATTAGCCAAGATAATCTACTTGCTGTTCTTGGCCTACACACTGACAATATATGGCAAAACATGAAACATGAGATATTTGTTCTAGTAGATGTTATTATTAAAGCTGAAGTTATTTCTTCCATTTAATATATTTCCTTGAAGTACCACTTATGTGAACTTTAGGGAGTATAATTCTTGTTATGTATTCCATTACAGGTTATTCTTGTATGTATTCTATTACAGGTGACAGAAGCTTTCCCTGGAAGTCCAGGACAAATTACTCTTCACACAAAACCTTTTCTCATCTGTGGAGGTGATGGATTTGTTCATTCCAATTTAGATGGATGCATAGATTCAGCCATAAGTGTTGTAAAGGCTTTAAAGGCCAGTTTGTAGGATTTTCATTGTTTTCTCTCTGAATATCAGCTCGTTTTTATGATGAGTTATACATTGATATACCAATGAATAGGTGTTTTCCATACCCATCCTCTGTTTTAAAAAAAATAAAGAATGGAAGTCTTGAAATGTCACACAGATTTATTGCAAGACAAGTGGATGCTGCTTATTTATTAGCCCTTCCATGAAGGCACTAATGTGATAGCTTTTCTGGCTTCATGGTGTGTCAGGAATATATGAAGAATGGCTGTATTCCTGATGTCTCCTCCCTGGTCACTCCCTTAAATTGCTAAAAATTTCACACTGTGTGAACAAAAGGGAAGGAATCTTAGCTTATTTCCTTAATTATTGCAAGCCCAGACCTACACAAGGAACTACTATGGTGGCTTTCCCATTCATATTCACATGATAAGATTACCATTCTGGATGTTTTCGTTTATTTTATTTATATATCAAATTTAGAAACCACTCATCTCCCTCACAGAGTGACTCTGGTTTGTGAAGTTTTGAAAAATGATATTTTCCTTGGATGTGATTTTTCTACAGACAAGCAGGAGGCATTGCTTTTCTACACAATTACATGAGAAACTCACGAAAACTATATTTTGGTTATTATTTAATTGTGGAAGAATGGGAAATGTGTAGAATGGGTGTAATCAGGGCTTTTTTTGTCATAGAATGCCCAGAACGGAGTTCCGGCACCGGATGGAACCTTGTAGGGTAGGCAAGGTAGGTTGTATGACATGAGTGAGTTCCGGCACCTTTTTTTTTTTTTTTTTTACCAAAAAAGCACTGGGTGTAATTATTTTTCTGGATATAAGACCATAATCAAAGCCTCTCAGAGACCCTTGTGAATTCACAAAATTCATAAGAGAAAGAAAATGTCTCCTAATGCTGTCAATTGCATTTCAAATGACTACCTGTTCTTCTTTTCCAACAATGAGCAAAACGGGTCTTACCTCCTAATACGTGTGCAAAAATTGTGCTCCAATTTCTTTCTAATAGGGATTAAAAATGTGTCATTGTCAATCCTATAAATGGGTCAGTCTTAAAATCTCTCTGCTGTACAGATGAAAGAATTAAGAGGATAGAAAAGAATTCTAAGCAGATTTGTGTCTCTCGCAAGAAATGTGTTTCACTTGAATTTGTTACCTTGTAGTGTTAACTGTCATATACTCTCTTTTCATTTGGGTTGCCAAAACTGCTAATTTCAACAAATTTAAGTGAATGGAGAGTGAATGCAAGAACTTTCCAAGAACTCAGTATTTCTTGACAAGATAATTGTGTGCTCTGATTGTGAACCCCAAGGTTTTCAAGTGGTCAGAGACTACCATGGAAAAGAGAGTAGCTAACTCTGTACACTAAATGTTCTGATTTCCAGGAATGCTGAGTTACAGCTTGTAAGTATCCCCAGAAAGTGTGAATATAATCAGGATGAAGAATCACTGTATTTCAGCATCTGGCCTCACTATGGTAATCTCTGTTCTTAGCATAGTAATTGAGCCTTAAGCTGAAAATCCCAGTATAAGTCTCATTCAATGAACTGCAATTGTAAATCTAGTTTGAAAACAAGGGGAGAAAGTGGTCTGGTTTAGGGCTGTGGTTCTAAACAATATTCTTATATCTGTATCAAAAATCAATATCTTTTTAGGTGTTTTTTTTAAGCATGTTGTGTTCAACTGAGAAGTGGAGTAGATCATTCTCTAATGCAGAGTGAATAGTGAGCCTAGCCTTTGTCAGCGTAAAACTTTACGATGATGCTCGTTGGGAAAGCTCAGTCACTGTCAACCCATGTGTCCTGTTCAGGAGCTGAGGATGACAAATGATCACAAATGACTAGTATTTTTTTCCCACCTTGAATGTTTTACGCAGGCAGAAAATTACCTTTTCCCATCTGCCTTGCCTTACCCCCACACAAATAAAAAGAGGAGGAAGACAATGGTATTTTAACAAGATGAGTTGTTCAGACCAGCATTTGCAAAATGATCAGTGACCTGGGCAGACAAAGAGCACACGGGGAAAACAGAATTAAATCTTTTCTTGGTATTTGCAGAGGAAGATTATTTATCAGTTGCCAGTCTCTCATTTCAGTCTTTCTAGATGCAGAGAGCTAAGCACTAAACTTCCAGACAAAGTCAGTGATTCATCACATACTACTGAGAGATTTCAATTAGCAGTTAATTGAAAATCAGTCCAATTCAGTTTTGTGTCTTCTACAGTTTCCATCCATTTATTCCCCATCTTACACACTACTACAAAACAGTCATCATGTCTCTCATCTGCGTTTTCAAAAGAATCTGTTCAGCTGCTGGTTGAATATATAGAACAATATAGAATTGCCTGGTATTTGCCCATCCATTGTTGCTCGTGACAATGTGTTCTTTAGAAATAAAGGTTTGGAATGGAGAAAGTCCAGCAGTTAATTATAGATGGAATTGAAAGCTATTGTATCTCCTTTGCTTAAACCAGCACATAACAAATGCCAGCAACAAAAGATATTCTGAGAAAATTCCTGGTAATGGCTGAATCCAGTATTGGATCCCCTATTGGGCAGGAATATGGAGCAGATCTCAAAGTATTCTTTCAATCTTCTAAACATTCTGTTTAAAAAGATATTCAACAGAGTCAATTCCCCTTGGAATTTTCTACCTATTGCAATACCTGAGAAAGCTTCTTCAAGTGTCTCTGACTGGCCAGTGGTAGTTGTTCCACATAGGGACTGTAATGCATAATGCTTCTTGTATCACATGAGTTATCCCTCTCCCTTGAAAATTTCTACAATACACCAGGCATATGTCTTATTTGACATTGATGCAAACACATTTTAAAAAGCAGCAGCCAGAAGACTAACTTTGCCCACACAAGCTATTTTTCAAACAATTCCATTCCCAAAATGTGGGATTGTATTTTTTACATATTAATGCATGTTCACACTTCTTGCCGCTAATCTTTATAGAGCTGAGCTGAAACATTGTTGAGATTGGAGTGTGGGCAATTGGTTTGTGATTTAAAGGATATAAAGTTATTAATTTTGTTCTTATGTTCTTCTGTAGACTTTGGGACTACAGCTGCTGCCGATTGGCTCATGTTTCCCTTTTCAGCCATTCTTTTTCCTAGCTTAACTGGTAATTCAGGGATATAGTCAACTTGAAAATGTCTTTGGAGAGCACTGGCAGATCTGAACAATTAGTAAAGTACTTTGCTTCTACAATTTTCTGCTTCATTGCATTGTTTGGGACTATTGGATGGGCTTTCTCTTCCTGGAAGACAACTTCCACAAATATCCTTAATGTGGATATAGAAATGTACTAGAAACCTTTTCTGTCCCATTAAAAAATATTATATGAGGTACCATATCTTAAGTTCCATTTCTCATTTCCAACTCCAAAATTACTCACTGATTAATCTTTCCAGCTGCTTTACTTTCAAACTCAAGCTCACAGTCCCTTTATTAATTTTATTATAATTTATTAATAGTGTGATTAGCTCTTTGATTCTTTCTTTTGCTCTACTGTCTATTTTAATGATCTGTATTCCTAAAGTTATTAATTGGGTTTATAAAGTGATTATTCGCCAACTATTTTTTCAGATGAGTTTTTTAGTATAGAAAGAGTGCATTTCTTTGCCAATATTATTATTTCAACCAAATGGAATTGAAAAGCATTTTTGAAAAGGACATAATTTGATTTTTTCCAAAAAATTGTCCACTATGATCTTTAGTATAGATATTGCACGGATATTAGTTTTGGACACAGTCTTTCATGAAAGACTTCTTTTAAATGTAGCTGTATTGGTATCAGGCATGGGGGAAAGCAGGAGATTTAGCAGTTCAAATGAGTATAAAGATGTATTGCTTAAGCTCTCTACAAGAATCTGAACCATTAGCGGTCAAGGGAAATGAGTAAGAATTAAGAAAGCAATCAAGGTGGGCTGACTTAGATCTCTTGTGGGCACACAGACCCTTGCATTGAATATAATTTCCTACTTTATTGCCAGTTTGGAGATGATTCAGTGCAAGAGTAAAATTATATCTGGTGATGTAACTTACCTCCTTGCCCCTACCCAATTTATATGCACACTAATTATTCCAAATTTGTATTAGGTAGCCAGATAACATCATAGAATCTATCTGTGATCACTGCTCTAAATTCTGGAAGTTGGACTTGCCACAAGATGGGGTAATGAACCACTGATTCTTATATTCTTTGAGGGGAGTAAGCCAGATTTAGGAAGAATGAACCATTATACTAATTCAGCCTAATAACCAAATGGAACCCTAGGTTCAGTGGCAGAATGTCTCCAGATGCCAATTGTTGGAGAACAACCAGAGAAAAAAACTTGTAGTGTTTATGCTTTGTCTTTAGGTTTTTTAGGGAGATCCATTTCTAGTTATTTTTGGACACAAGTTGCTGAACTTTTGATCTAATGATCTAAAAGAGCTTCCTGGAGTTTGTGTGGAACCTCCAAAGGTTGTGACTTGTTTTATATCATTTTCTGGTGAAGGATGTGTTCACATTAGTGCCTCAACGGATACAGTTCCTCAGCTTAAAAGAAGTCAAAGTTGTAACAATATTGAGAGTAATGGAGTAGATTATATCTGATTCCTCACTATATTTGCTTTTCTGTTATGTATTGTGCAACTCTGATAGATCTGTAACATTTCTGGGTTCCTTGTAGTATAACATCCAAGAACCACTGATCCACTCCAGTGCTCTATATTGGTCCCTTACCATTCTTCATTTTCTCTTTCTTTTCTTATTTGCCTTCAAGCTGTACTAATCATCCCTTTTTGGTTTATAAAGAACTGAAAAAAAAATTTTTTATACCAACTCATTTTTTCAGGTCTGTCATAGGAATACAACACATATACATACCCCAGTAGCACCACTTGTTGAAATAATCACTCATTTGTAGTAAGGGAAGAAAGGCTACATTTTAGCTTTATTAAATTAATTAGTTACATCTTAATGCATGTATATTTCCTGTGGGCTATAATTATTAAACAGAATAATGTAAGAAATATGTTTAGGAAGAGGTACAGTATATGTATTCCACATAAGATCACTGGGAGTATCAAGATAAGCTGAATGAATTCGTTTCTTTGCCCTAATCCGGAAACCAATACTATGAAATCAGTTCAAA